TTCATTTGTTTTAGGGAAAGTTTTTTTTACATTTGATTGGAGGCAGTCAAATAGCTGAAATGATATAACCATTAAGATATATTTTCCTGATAAGTACCCATATTCGCATATTATCTATTTATTTTTCTGTGGTATCTTAGTTGAACTTGGAACATATTTGACCTATTTTTTCCACTGGGCATTTACTGCGTTGCTGGAAGCAAAATTTCTCGTTCTTTCTGGTTACATTATCCTCATAAATTGCAATAAGAGAAGCGATATTTTTAATGAGTACTTGTGTCATTAAACAGAAAAAATGTTTACTGAAATGATCCCTATTAGTGCCTAGCAGGGTTGGAGTTTGAGCCTTTTCAGCCTGCAGTCACAAATATTAGCTAGCTGAGCAATTGATTCAGAGCAAAATACACATTTCTGGAGTTGTCCCTTTCTCACGTGCTGTTGTGAACGGCATGGCTCCTAGGAGCTCTGGAAATGGGCTTCCCGAAAGGAAAGGTTTGACCAAGCAGAAAGGCTTTAGGCTATGCAGATATTCCATAGCTGCATACATGCAAAAGTGGTGTTGCATAATAATGACGGTTTTTGTCCCCTGTAACTTTTAAACTATAATTATTTTCAGAGCTGAACTAATTCGGGACCCAACTTTCCTTAGGTTTGTGAAGTTTAGACAGCGGCAGTGGCAGAGGATGGCTTGCTCTTGCAGGAGGGACCGCGTGCTCCTCCTGTTGCCCTGAGCAGAGGGAGTGAAGTGTGGCTGTCACCTCTGCGCTGTGACCCCGCTAAGAGCTCACAATCAGCATTCAGGTGTGTCCCCATCCCGTGAACGTGCTCTTTCCACAAACAGGCTACATCCACTCCTCGTTTCTCATACAAAGATAATTCTAGCATTGTATTTGTAAAGTCCTCTTTTCTCTCTTAAAATAATTTTCTTTTTACCGCTTATGACTGTTTTCACATTGAAGTGACTTTGGAAGAGGTAAGAAAGGACATCTCTTTTGAAAACTGTATTTCCAAGTTTGGAGCTACAAGATATGGCCGATCAGAAACTCTGCTTGGATAACTCAAAAGAGCAAAAGCCAGAAAGCTCAGATGCAGCCTGGCATTTAAAAAGCAAGCCAACTCGAGAGAAAACCCACTGTTTAGTGTGGAAGCTAGTTAATATTGGTTGAGTGTAGACTTAGATTTCGGTTTTGAGGCTGCTTCAGAAATCTATTTTCTGTGCACGTTTACTAAAAGCATTTCTGCTACGGAAATGTAGCTGATTGAAAGCACAGAAAATGTTTTAATTACCCTTACAGCATTTGACAAAGCGGGTCTTGTTCACTGAGCAGTGGCTAGCCGGGGCTTGAGAAGCAGACCAAGTCTAAGTATGATCCATCAGCCCTCACGAAGTCAAAGCTTTGGGAAGCAGACTCGTCCACCTCCGCACAGCGTTTGCCCAGACGTGATCTCCTTTCAGCCCAGCGGTGGCAGAGGGGGTTTCGCAGAGACAGACGCGTCTTTCTGGTCACCTCGGGGCACCAGCCTCGGTTAGAGCAGCCCAGGGAACACCCCAAATTGTGCGCGTGGCTACACGGTGCCCACAGAGCCCCCTCCTCCGTACCGAACAGCAAACAGCTGCCCCTAAAAAGCAGCTCTCCACAACCATTTCCAGTATATAAGGGCTTGTTTTTTTACTGGTTCGAAATGTGAGTAGTAGGGAGGGGGAAAGGCAACAAATATTTTAAGTGCCATTGCTTTGATGCAAGGAAGTGAAGACCTGCATAGTTAATTTGACCCCCTGACTCATTCTGCTGTATTATTTTGCTGTAGTGGTTCTGACACACGTCTTTATGTGAAACCGGCAGAATTTCGTAATTCTGAGCCACTGGGTCAGAATTACAGACAGTGCTGCTGTCGCTGATGGCCACAGCAAACCTTACTTCCACTTACCTGTGGAAGGTAAGTGCTCCAGTGTTCCTGGAGAAGAAATCCTATGCAAGCCTTCCATTGCCTATAAATTGCACGTTTTCTCCACCCAACGCCTGGTTATTTCCTCAAGCCATTGTTTTTAATTCTAAACTATATTTCCCAGTCCTTTTAAGTCAATAGCTTGACTTTATCTTACTGTTTTCTTTACAAATGTTAAGACCACACACTGAGCTCTGCTAACACACTGTATTATGCTACTAGTAGACAAAATTTAACATCACAATCACATACATGTTGCGGTTGCTGTTGGAACATGCCTTTTAAAAAATACCTTTATTGGATGAAATTGTCTCTTTCCCAAGAAAAATCTGGTTCATCTATATAATTTATTATGCCTTTTAAAATTCTGTCTGTTCAATAAAATCTTTGCTATATTATAAATACCTGTAATGAAAATATAATTTAAAATTCTGAGAGAAAACATTTTTTTTTCCCTTTTACATTTTTCACAAAACCCACACAGGCACCAAGGAAAGACTAACAATAAAAATAACCTACTCTGGGTTGGAAACATTCAAAAGAGAGATTTTCAAACTCGTCCTCTGATGAAACTTTGGCTACAACATGGGAACTGATCTTAAAACAAAGGAGGGCCCTATGTTTTCCATCTGTTGAATCCGAAAACTTCTTTCAAGGGCTGATTGAATGTTGCTAGTACTTTCCTCGCTGTAACATACCTGAATGAGCACCGTCTAAAATTGCTGTTATCTGAGGGAACCAGCCTCTGAGCTTCATTGCATGGGACTGTAAGTGGTCCTGCCTCACCAGATGGGAGTATTTATCACGGAGATTAACTCCCAGTTCTGAAAATTAAAGGTTAGCGGAAATAAGTTAGTGCTCTCACTCTGCAATAGCAGCAATTAGAAATTTTTATGTTTTGCTTGCTTAGTAGTTACGTATTGCCAGAAAGCTTTCTGATTTGGACCACTTGCAGGGATTTTTTTAATGACTTCTCATTCTAAACGAATCTCTTAGTAGAGAGGGCGCGATTCAGTATAAGAGACATTCAATGGTGGAGCTGTTGTCTTCTTTAGTATAGCCTAGAAATAGGGAAGAATTCTTCAAATCAACTAAGCTAACTCTATGTAAAGCTGGCAAAAAAGCAGACTAAGTCCAAGATAGGCACGAAACCATCACAAGGAATGAATAAGCAGAAAATTTTAAATCTAAAGTTTGGTAAGACAATTTTCAAAGTTGTCGTTTGAGCAGTCCCTTTTTCCATAGAAGAAGACTTAGGTACTGTTACAGTAAATAGATTTACGTTTAAATTACAGAATTTAGTGTGAAGTTTGAAAAATCTCTATCTGAACCGATGAATTACGAGCAAAATGCAAAATTCCTGTCTTAGACACACTTGCATCATTTTAAGGAATAGACAGTGAAGGAGAATCGTGTATTTCTAGAATGTCTAGAAAACACATTTCAATAGTAGATGAGAGAGAAAGAAAAATAAAAACCAGACAGCACTTGTCTGAATTATCTTTAGCACTGCAATGAGGTAAGTATCCCCTGGGAATCTTCATTTCCTTGTTCTAGATTCCCTAAAATTTCTGAGCATCCAACACTGCAATGCTTTTAGAAATTATGAAAAGCAAAATAACATGTCAATCTTGACTCTGACTTTAAAGAGGTATGTGTGGAAAACTGTCTGTTTAGTACACCGCTGATGTTAGGGAGCTGCCCACCCTTGCTGCTTTCTGACAGCCGCCTCTGTTTCCTCCTCTTGCACCTTCTCCTTCCTTCTATTCCTCTCCCTTCTCCACATTCCATGTGCTCTTCCCCTCCATTTCTGAGTCCCTTCTCAAGGTATTTTTTTTTTATCACACCTCTTCCCATCCATTTTGCCTTAACTTCCTAGATATTTGGGAAATGTTACAACCTGCAGCAGACACTCGAAGATGCAGTTTTTAAGTGGACTTTGCTGGGACAGTTATCCTTTCTGTTCCACTTTGGTCACAGCTCAAGGAAAGGACAAAGGGACCTCAGCTTTGTTGTCCTGTCCACTGCAGACATAGGCATCTCAGAAGGCATTTACATTATTTTTTAGAAATTTATCTGGAGCTCCATAGGTAGGATGTTGGTCCCCCAAAGCTCACATAATCAATACAAATAGATCAGTACTCCATCAGATGACTCAGAACCAGTGTAAAGACTAGCCAAGTGCTCTGAAGTGCTATCTACAGGAGCCTCTGTCTTCATTAACTACATTCAGCCTAGAAAGATTAGGCTCATAATTCAGGCATTTCACTTAGGTAGTTAGAAGTTAGATGGTGAGAATGCCATCCTATGGTCTGAGATGCCTCATTTGGGGCTCTTTTATGTTAGTGTCTGTCTGTCTGTAGTCTAAATCCCATCCCTGGATGTATTTAAGGCCAGGTTGGATGGGACTTTGAGCAACCTGGCCTAGTGGGAGGTGTCCCTGCCCGTGGCCGCGGAGTTGGAACTCGATGATTTTCAAGGTCCCTTCCAACCTAAACCATTCTATGATTCTATAAATCGATAATAACTTCATCAGTGTTCACTGATGCTCCAATCCAACTGCAGCTTCCCAGCTGCTCCTTTACGGCAGAACAGAAGGGTAAGGGAGCACTGCTGTTTGGAGAAGGAACAAAAACACCTATGACAGAAGCAGTACTGGCTGCGAGTATTAAATCTGGAACAAATGCCAAATATAAGAAAGACTGCAATACTCATTACAAATCCAGGGATGAGAGTATCTCCCCATAGCTTTAGCAGTTGGGTTCAAAACTGCTTGGTAATTCAGGTTTTGAATCCTACTGCATGCTAAGTGAATAGGGTGGAAGAATAAGTCAGGTGAAAATTGTTTGAAGTAGAGCATTAGGGTTTTCAGAGGAATACTATTGCCTTTCATGCCTGAGGGGGCAAATCTACTCTGATGATAATGAAGAAAGGCTTTGAACAAAGCTATTACTAAAAAGCATCAGTTTACTGCCTTATCCTCCCACACCCATTTTTTCCCTTCCTTGATATTTGTATTAAATATGAAGCAATCAAAGCAGCAATCACACAACTAGAGCATACAACAGACTTCTGGAAAAAAAACTACAGGTGGCGTGGGAAGAATGAATATTTCCAACTCAGTGCCATACCCTACAGTTTAGTTCCCTTCATTTATAATATCAACCAAGGCTTGCAGCAGTCGATCATCTCTATGCTTGTATGGTTTGGCATTGTAAAAAAGATCAACGTAGTCACTGTACAGATTTTCTTCCGAGTCTCTTAACTGGGAGGGCTTGTTTAACTTTTCGAGGGCTTGATAGAAGTGTTCATATGGAATATTTGACTTCTCACTTGCAGTCTTCTTTGGCAGTCGCTTCTGAGCCATCTGTCTGCTAAAAGCACTTCTCAGTAAGTGTAGCATAGCCTCTGATGGGATTTTATCTTCTGCTTTGTCACTGCTACTACTGGTATCTTCTGTGAGTTTGGGTTTTTCACTCAGGTTCTCCTGTGTAGTATGGTCCTAGAATACAGATTAGTGTAAAAAAGGTCAGGTATCAATGAAAAACTGACTAGATTAAGATATGCTCTGATCAGTGATTTCCATCTATGTGTGGGCAGATGCTATTTTTTCATTTAGCAGCCACTAGCGTCTAGAAAAGAACTAGACTGTTATATACCAAAACAGATTATCAAAAGGAGTATATTGTATAAAATATCAAATGCCCCCACAACGTAAGAAGATCTAAATTCAAATTCCACACAGGCAGGATACAACATATCATTATATAGCAGGATTTGTCCCAGTCCTAAGAGGTATTTCTGGTTGTACAATGGGAGAAAGCTCCTCAGCAGTCTAACTGAAGGAAGTATACGCAGTGGCGATGGCAGCTCTGATTGTGCCACATACCCTTGTGAACAGGACTGAACCAGTGCTTCCATGCAACCTTCTCTGTACATGGTCTCACTTGAGAAAAGACAGTGAAGTATGGCTATCAGGTGACCATGACATGTATCCTGGAAGCTTTGGAAGACTAATGCCAGGTACAGATGTACAGAGGAGTCAGTGAGAGGCAGGATCTCGTTTCAGCAGTGTCTATTACGCTTCCCATGCTGACACAGTAGCAGGTGGCTGCATAGCTTCATCATTTACACTAGGATTGTTCATCATTTACACTAGGATTGTCTTTCTAACTCAACACTAATTTTAGCTTTATCTGGTTTGTCCACCAATCTTCTCCTACAGTAACTCCTGAATCCACTTTTACTTTCTTCCAATTCATTTTCTTGCTCATGACTGCCACACCTGTGGACATTTATTTAATGTATATAAAGACCATAATCATGTCTCCCTCAGTTTTCTCCTTCATAACCTGGCTGAGGAAGGTTAACCTCTCCATACTTTATGGACTACCTGGACTTATGCAAAGCATTTGACACTGTGCCACACGACATTCTGGTCTCTAAACTGGAGAGACATGAATCTGACCAGTGGACCGCTTGGTGGATAAAGAATTGGCTCAAAGAGTTGCAGCCAGTGGCTTGATGTCCAAGTGGCGAGCAGTGACAAGTGCTGTATCTCAGGGGTCAGTACTGGGACATGTGCTGTTTAACATCTTTGCCAGCGACATGGACAGTGGGATTCAGTGTGCCCTCAGCAAGTTTGCCAACAACACCAAGATGTGTACAGTCAGCACACTGCAGGAGAAGGGAAGCCATCCAGATGGATCTGGACAGGCTTGAGAGGTGGACCTGTGGGAACCTCATGAAGTTCAACAAGGCCAAGTACATGGTCCTGCAAGTGGGCCGGGACAATCCCAAGCACAAATCCAGGCTGGGCAGATAATGGATGAAGAGCAGCCCTGAGAAGGACCTGGGGGTGTTGGTAGATGAAACATAAGTCAGCAAGGTGTGCTGGCGGCCCAGAAGGCCAACCTGGGCTGCATCAAAAGAAGTGTGGCAAGCAGGTTAAGGGAGGTGATTCTGCCTTTCTACTCCACTCTCATGAGACCCCACCTGCAGTGCTGCCTCCAGCTCTGGAGTCCCCAGCATAAGGACATGGACCTCCTGGAGCATGTCCAGAGGAGGGCCACGAGGATGATCCGAGGGCTGGAGCACCTCTGCTATGAGGAGAGGCTGAGAGAGTTGGGGCTGTTCAGCCTGGAGAAGAGAAGGCTCCGGGGAGATCTTATTGCGGCCTTCCAGTCCCTACTACAAGGTCCCTGCCAACCTAAACCATTCTATGATTCTACGATTCTATGAAGATGATCAGAGGGCTGGAGCACCTATTCTATGAGGACAGGCTGAGAGGGTTGTGATTGTTCAGCCTGGAGAACAGAAGGCTCCGGGGACACCTTAGGGCCCCTTCCAGTCCCTAAAGGGCCTACAGGAGAGCTGGGGAGGGAGTGAAGCAATGGGACAAGGGGGCAAGGTTTTAAGCTGAAAAAAGGGCAGATTTAGATTAGGTATTAGAGGGCTGGAGCACCTATTCTATGAGGACAGGCTGAGAGGGTTGTGATTGTTCAGCCTGGAGAACAGAAGGCTCCGGGGACACCTTAGGGCCCCTTCCAGTCCCTAAAGGGCCTACAGGAGAGCTGGGGAGGGAGTGAAGCAATGGGACAAGGGGGCAAGGTTTTAAGCTGAAAAAAGGGCAGATTTAGATTAGGTATTAGAAAGAAATTCCTTCTTGTGCGGGCAGTGAGCCCCTGGGGCAGGTTGCCCCGAGAAGCTGTGGCTGCCCCATCCCTGGAGGTGTTCAAGGCCAGGGGGGACAGGACTCTGAGCAACCTGGTCTAGTGGGAGATGTCCCTGGCAATGGCAGGGTGGTTGGAACTAGATGATCTTTAAGGTCCCTTCCAACTCTAAGCATTCTATGATTCCGTGACATCCTAATTACTTAACGGGAGATGAACTGATGTGATGTGATAAAGCATTCTGAAGATGTGGACATAATCAAGCATTATGTGAATGTACAATAGTACCATCCTTTGCATCCAGAAACCCACTGTCATTCTCAGAAGCCTGCAGTATGTTCAGAGCACTCTGCGTGAAAGGTAAAAAGGGGGTGAAAAAGGAGCTAGCAGCAACAGATCCACTTAACCAAACTTTATGAATCAGTGAGTCCCTGACTTTTGTAATGTCTTTTGTTACTAACTTAGAATCATACAGTCACAGAATTGCCCAGGTTGGAAGGGACCTTTAAGATCATCAAGTCCAACCATCAACCTAACACTGCCAAAACCACCACTAAACCATGTCCCTAAGCACCACGTCTACCCATCTTTTAAGTACCTCCAGGGACGGCGACTCCACCACTTCCCTGGGCAGCCTGTTTCAATGCTTAACAACCCCTTCTGTGAAGAACTTTTTCCTAATCTCTATCCTGACCCTAGCATGGTGTAACTTGAGGCCATTTCCTCTTACCCTATTGCTTGTTACTAGCAAGAAGAGATCAACCTCCACCTCTCCACAATTTCCTTCCAAGCTCCCTGGAAGCACTCCAGCAGGCAAAGCTTCTTTTGGGTGTGACACTTCTCACAAGAATTACTAAGTTTAGCGTGTCTGCCAGAGGTGTCTTCCTCGCTCCTTGTACCACTCAACTGCATTAGCTATTGAGTTCACTGCTTTAGTAGCAATATCCTTTTACCATCCCAAAACCCTTAGGTATTACCATATGAAAACAGAAAATAATAAAAATATCACTTGTTGACATGGATAAAATTACAATACACAACTCAAAAGTGGTCAGGGGCTAGATGAAATGAATACAGAATGACTATGTGTCTTCTTACTCAGAAAAAATATCATTTTATTCTAAATTGAAAAACACATAAGGAAAAAGTTAATGTAACACCACCTCTACAAATTCCGTCATCTTCTCCACTCCTCTTCTGTCATTTTGCACAGCATTGTAGGATGTATATACACGTGGCTGCTTCATATGTTCAGGCTGGGTGGCAGTACCATGCAAAATCAATTTCCAATTTACAATCCTTCCTTCATTTTGTATTCTTCTGGACTAAAAGACAAGCATCGGATTAGCGTAGGCTCTCAGGACATAAGGGGAAGCAGGACACTTGACCGTAACGTAGACAGAAGTGACTAAAATAAATCATAAGGCTTTCAGTATCTAAATTTAGACAATGATTTATAAGCACTAAAAGACTGATATATTAGAGACACGTTATACAGAAAGTGGGACTTAGTACGGTGGCTTAACTACTCCAAATATCCACATTCTGATGCAACATTATTAATTAATCACGCAACCATCAATGGAATTTTGTCATAACACAGAATGCAAAAATTATTGAAGTAATACTTTGTGTTATTAGTATTTGCTCACTAAGCCATTCATTCCCTGGCAATTTCCTCACAAAAATTACCATTGGAATAGTAATTTGGAATAATATTCTGTAGTGGTGTACAATAGCAATCTGAAAAACAGCTTGTGGAAGGGAGCAACAAATGCTTTGTCCATTAGTTTTGGCAGCAGTATTTAAATAGTAGAAAGTGGAAGAGATAAGTACAGAGAACACTGAAACTTTATTTTACCAAAGCTTCTTTCAGAATTTTTCCTCAGTCATTTAGTGACTGAAGATAGCTGCTGAAACTCTTCCTTTCTAGTAGAATTCTATACCAAAGTTTACATACACAACTTACATGACAGCTAAATTATGAGTAACGCTGCATGGGAATCTGTAGTTAGAGTCTTCAATGTGAAAACTTACTTCAGGAATCACAAAACCCTACAAGCTGAGGAAAGAGTTAAGAGTGCATTACGTCTCGAAGTACAAAACCCTTGGTGTATGCAAAGTTTTGGGAACCTCTCATTTGAGAATGGAATATGAGAGATAATTACAAACAAAATGCTCTTCTTAGCTTTGTTCCAAAAAATGCATTATATTAATTACAAAGAGCAGGATATCTGTAACCATGGGGTTATCTATAAGCCTGCAGTATTAACACTATACTGTTGATAATAATATTTACTTCTACTGCCGTGTCCATCTGCTTAGTACTTGGCATTATCCTCCTGTTTACAGTTTCAGGCCAATAGGGGTTGGAGGCTCGGTGTCTCATAGGAAGCATTCAGTTTCTGGCAGGATCTGACCCCTAATGACAAGCCTATTAACAGACAACTTCACTGAAATTCTCCAGAGATGAGTGTGCCTGATCACTCTCCGTCTGAAGAGAATGATTTTTCAGTTGCCTATCAAACAGCTTTATTCTGGTGTCTCGCTGTTGTAATCCATATCCCCAGGTGGTTTTAATAAACTTATTTCTTATCTGTAGGTTTCTTGGCTTTAATCCTTAAACATTGTTCAGAAGTAATTACTCTAAGAAAGAAGTTAGGGAAAGGTATACATCAGGACAGTTCTCTGAGGTCCCTAGAAATTTATTAATTCAAAAGCTTTTGAGTTAATGAAAATTACGCAGATGAACCAAGAGAAAACTAGATCTATCCTGTGTTCTTTTCTGCAGAAAAAACCCTAATTTTCAGTTAATCACATGTTAATTCGATTATGTATTTCACTCTATGAATCACAGGAAACTATATTAAGTGATTTTTTTCAGTGACATATAACATGTGACAAACATAGGCATGAAATTTTTTTGATAGGGACACATCAGTGAAATGAGGATGCTCCTTTGTGTTTATGCAAAGAACAAGAAAATATGACTCTATCTTTTTTCTTTAATCTTTAATCCAGATGGATATTTAGTGTAAACAAACTCTTTTTGTAGCTTGCTTAATGAGAAGACTCACCATTCAACATACTTGGCTATGGTTAGTGATCATTTTATCTGTGTTAGCTCCCAAACATAGCTGGTTAACATACAGACATACTTACCACATCAGTAATTCTTAAAACCCAGGTGCCTATTGGATTCTCTCCCCATGTGTGAACAGACATGAAGTCCCAGTTCTTAAAGCCGTTGGGAGATTTATCTCTCTCTCTCTCAGCCAGTAAGACAGTGTTGGTCCCTGCGTTAGTGCAAGATCAACATTAGTGACTGTTCACACATGCCTGCTCTTCAGCTTGCACGCTATCTACTGCATAGGTAACCTGAAAAATGCACTATTTAACATTGGCTTGTGGAACAGGAAACATGGTATTTCTGATCAGTGGTTACTTTAATTATTTTCACCGCAGTATTTAGGAGTATAACAACTATTATGTGAGGTCACACTAAAAAGGTACATCTTGCTTAGCGCTCAATCTCTACCACAAAAAAGTAGTGGATGCACATAAAGAAGCAGAGGTCAGACATAACCAGCATTTTCCACTGATGTACAGTTCAGAAAACTTCTGAGGTGGAAGTTTTGAAGGCAAACCAGCTGACACAGTATTGTGAAACCAAACCCTTATCCTGCATTCATCACTGTATCTTTTTTTTTTTTTTTTTTTTTTTGTTGTAAGTGGATGTAAATTCTTACAGCCTGGAACTCCAGCAGGGTGAAAAGCATTTGCATTGTTATTATTATTACAAAAATGCTGCACCTCGCAAAGTATTTCTGCAGCAGAAAAGATTCTACTGCACAGTAGGAAATTTGTTGTGCTTGTTTGCCTATAAGGAGAGAGCAAGGGAGCTCTATTTACATAACAAGGAACAGAGAAGCCCCAGGGAGCCTGATCACAAGCTATAAATATATTTAAAGGTAACACTATAAATACAGAAAAAGAATGACATACATCTGGTAGTACTGTTCTGCAGGAAAGTGGAAAAACAGCAAGAACTGAGGGAAAGAACAGTTTAACCATGATGGCAATGTGATGCAACAGTGGAGGCAGCAGCACTTGACTATTGCATCTTCAGATAAACCCACAGAAACACATACAAATATGATGAACACATTACTGTCATCAGACTTTCAAAAATGGGTGTTTTTCTAAGATGAAGGCATGCTTCCTACATATTAGCGGTAGAACAATGTCTTGAGAGGGAAATTTCTCTATAAAAGTATAGCGAGAGGTACTGTTGCTGCCATCTCCATGATGTACCTAGAGACAGTCCATATACTTACTCCCAAACTAAAATCTGAGACAGAATTAAAGTTGAAAATACCACCAAGAGTCAAGGGTAAAACACCTCACAGAAACATTGCTCCCATAAGACAAAAGGTAAACTCAGAAAAGGAAGTATTAAGGTTAGGCTTAAAAGGAATCCCAACCAATGTGCGGTTTGGAAATATACTGTACGTACAGCATCTTAACCCTGATCTCTAGTGAGGTCCTGCAGTAATTACACGAACAAGGCTCTACTGGTTTATTATCTGTGGATTACTGTATTGGCCTTTAATATCAGTAACTTAGACTAGCCTGATGTTTAAATTCATACCTGAAAGCCTGTCTGTTTTTTCTAATAATATCAGTTGATCTAGCAGATCTTACTCTCGACTCTCTACAAGTTGTTTATATTCATTCTCCTTTCTCTTTTCTTCTCCTTATGGTGTTATTTCAGGGCGTTGTCAAGATAGCTTGCCACATTCTAGCACATTTAGTAGAGTTGTAATAAGGTGCCTAACACAGACACTGTGTTTTAAATACATCAATGGGAAGACACAGTTACATGAAATCTCAGGAGTCAGACACCCTGTTTTCCATTAGTTTGTTAAACATTTGTGAGGCTGATAAGCACTACTGAACTATAATTTGTTGTCTGCCATGAACTCTCAGTTTTTATGGGTCCTGTAGCCAGAATGAAAACATATTAGAAACGAAGCCTTCATTTTCTGAAGTATAATTTTCAAACCTCTTCTCACAGAAATAACCCAGCACACATGAAGGCTGGAAGGGGTTTCAGAGAACCAGTTCTCTGGTCCCCAGAATATTTCATCCTCACACTCACCTGTTGGAGGCGAGTAGATTTGTCTAAGGATATATTTAGCTCTTTTTAAACCACTGGAGAACAGAGGTGTTTTTAATGAAATACATGTTACACACTACAGCAACACAAAGCCAGCATGTCTTTGCCTCCTGTACCTGATGGAGATACCAGAGTGACATGAAGATCACCTCTACGGGAATACTCAATCGTTGCCTCAAGCTGCACATGCTCCAGAGATGCAATGGAGTCTTCTTGACCCTCGCAGGCTTTTGTGGGAATTTCAATGATGACTTCCTCATTTGCTTTTAATAACCTGGCAAAATTACAGGAGTTGTTTGATTACTCACAGAAACTTTTGATTCAGGATCATTACATGAAATGCAAATGACACACTTAACATCCTTTTCAGAATTATGAGAAAGGAACAAGTAAAGACAAAATCTACATTCATTATTTTTTTGAATGCTCCAGTAAAAAACATGGGAAGTTCTGGAAGCACAGATGATACTGAAGTGGACCAAGAGATAGGCACTGCATAAGACAGACTTGTGTAACACACCCTGGAAGCAAGAAGGCAAGTTTGATAATCAAGCGTTTCTGTCAACACGTTGTTGTCCCACAGAGACTGAAAAAAAAGGTCTTTGCTGTCAGATACATCACAGGACTGTATCAGACTTATACTTGCTTCCGTCGTTCAAATATCCAAAAGAGCTGTTATCATGGAGTTAAAATATTGCAGCAGGCACAGTGGTTTTAACCCTTTGTATTCAATGCCATCGCAAGAAAAAAAGCCAACATCTTCCATACATCCTCTGTACAGAGAGCTACCGAGCACAGCTTTCTCTGCACAATTTCCATTACTTCTAATGAGAATGGGGTATCTAAATCTCCACATAAATAATGCTAAACTCAGAATCTTGGGATCTTCATTTTTATAATGGAACATAGAGAGCTGCAATAAAAATAAATAAACAGCAAAATTACATACATCAGTACTGGATCAGCACTCTCTGGAAAGAAAAGAGCTTGTAAAACCAAACTGATAGTAAAATAGCATAAATAATAAGGTTACCAAGTAGTGACACTTCAAAACACTGTAATATGTTTGTACAGACAGATTTTTTGTGCACTTACACAGTGTAATTTTGATCTTTGAAATAACTGTATTTTTTCTAGACAACAAATCCATAAGTGAACAAGTGGAGACAAAAACGGTCTAGATATCTTTACTGATTAACCACCTTAGTGACTAATTATAACTTACCTCTATGTTGAGCTCAGTTTAAGCTCACTATGCTGGGAGCAGTTGTGAACGTGGCTGCTAAGTCTTTTCAGTGAGCCTTTGAGACACTTGTGTTTTGTAACAGATGTGCTATAGATGTGACTAAAGCTCAATATATCACCTTGATTTCAACATATACTATGCCTGTCACAGGAGAAGAATTACTAAGACCAATTACGATGCTTTTTCTTAAAAAAACCCTGGGAGACTTTGGTATCTTTTTATTCATCTTCTGATAGTGGTCTAAACATTCATATCTTATCTGATCGGGTTCAGTCTTACAGTATCATCCATCCATATGCTGGTTGCACAAGCAGACATAATAATCTTATTCTTTGTTAAGGCTTCATGCTAGTAATTTCTATCAGTCTCACACTAAAAAAAGCACGCAAACCAGTCTTCTTGCCTGCTCCTTGGGGAATACAGTAAGGCAAAAACAAATGAATCAAAAGCAATCTCTGACTCTGGTTCAGAGCAACCCATGCAGAATACTATCCTTCAGGCTCTACTAAGACAGACATAGGCTTAGTTACTGCTAATGTAAATTCTTACCTTGGTTCAAAGCTTTTGTCTTTGACAATACACTCTCTCTTTTCTGGTACACCTTTCCATCTTTTGGGATCAGCTAACTCTACCAACGCGTTGGCATTGAGTAGTCCAAACCCAAATCGGCTGTTGACCATCAACCCCGCTCCATTCTTTTTCCATCCTGGATTTCCAGCCAGTGGATCATATTCTGAGGTCCACACTACCAAGTGCTGCATATCCCTCCATGTTAGATCAGGGCTGTTGAGAAAATGTTCCTGGTTAATTGTTTCGGGGCTATCTATCATTCCTCTCTCAATTATTAGTCTGCACCAGAAAATGCTTTGAATGTATATGGCATCCCATCATTTTAGAATACAGAGCGTGTCACATACTTATCCTCACAATACTTCTCCAGGTAGACAAGATTTCTGTGTAAATGAAGAAGAGGTATCTACCAAGACTAGAGTCCGATCCTTCAAAATTATTCAGGCATTTAAAGTTACCTAGCAAAGCTAGTATTTCCCAACAGTCTTTATGGGACCTGGTCTTTACAAATTCACTAGATATTTGATTCTATCTGTGATTAACTTTATGGCCCTAAGTATCTTGGCTTATGTCATCAAAGGAGTGTGCAACAGAACATGGAGCTGAACCGACACCATTCAAGTACTAAGCCTACGCCCTAATGCCTGAAGAGCTTTCTGTGAAAAAGCCACTGTCCTGTCCTATCCTGCTCTTTTTTACCCTCTCTAAGTCACACATTCTGGATACCAGCCCTACAGGATCTGAACCTGACTGCTCCCTGCTTGCTCTGACAGTCAAGCTTGGGTGCCTTCCATTTTATGTCTCATCACTGGCAGAAAAGGTTCTGCAAATTGACTCAAGACTTCATTTAAACTCCTGCAACCTATTGTCTTCAAATATATTGTCACTCTTGATACATGTGCAGCTTCAATGCTTTTAAGGGCAATTGATCCAAACTCAGTAAACAATTGTTGCCAATGCACAAAATGGACTAAAATTCCTCAGTCATCATGTTTTACTTACGTTGGCTCTGCTTTGCTAGGAAGATGTTGAGGCAAGTAACTCCTTATTTTTGTCATCAGGCTGAGCAAGTCTGACTGACAAAAAGTGGAGCTGCAGGATGAGATGGTGCCACTTTCAAATAGACAACATTTTGGGGAAGACGGTGGGGTGGCTGGGAGAGGGGAGTTTCAAAGGTAATTGTGTGACATCCCTGCTGCCAGTGGTGCAGATGCAGAGGTCCCAGTGTGAGTCTCTGTACATTCGTTGTGAAGATCAGCACTTGTCTGACAGAAAAAAACAAAAAACCCCATGAATAAACAGTTGTAAATACAGTCATATCCACACTCACAAATATAACCATGTATCCTTTACTTGGTGCGCATGAATACATTCCTCACCAGCAGAAAAAGTGATGGATGTTTAAATCTGTTCATATTTCAATCCACTCTTTTTACTTCAACTATAATTTTTGTATCAAAACGCTTTGTGTTGGAACAAAATACTCCCACACTGACTATCTTATTTTATTCTAAGGTTTCACAATAAGTGTTTCAGGCTTACTGGTGAATCATAAAAACAGATCATTGTGTTGGGCCTAGAACATTTAAAATTACTGCTTGCTAGAAAATTACTCATAGGATTAGTATTGGTGTTCTGCTCCCTCTTCAGCAGAAGAACTATAATTTGCAATGAAACACGTGCTTTATTTGGAAATTAAATACCAAACTCATCTGCCCATGTATCTACATCTCAGCTATAAGGAGAAGCCACTCAGGAAGGACTGATCTAACCTAACTCCTAACTCCTGGCTAACTTGGAAAGACATTATTTTAGTCCCCATCAATGTCGTTCATTGCAAAATTAGCATCCACCAGGGCTGAACAGAAATTATAGGTACTTCAACATTATTTTATTACAGCAATTTTCTTCAGTACAAGTTATTTCTTGCACAGTTAATGAAGGCACACAGACTGCTCTGCCTGCTGGCTGAGTACCTTTTACAGGTTTGGAAGTACTATTGTTCCTGTCGTAAGTGGGAACTCAGGGGCTGACAATCTTACAAAAGCTAATGGCAAGGTGTACCAGAGGTACTGACTCATATGGTACACTAACTTCACGAGTTCTTTTTCCTTTTACCCTAAATCTCTCTTCATCTGCCCCTTCTGAAGAATGGGACCATATCAAACTTCAGGCAGAGACCTCTGTCATACACAAACAGGAGACAAATTCAGCATGCAGATTGTCCTGCATCGACACGATGATTTTGTTTAGCCATTGCTTTACAGCAGATGTTCCAGGAATACAATCACCTTTTGGATTACAAATCCTTCAGTGTTTCAAGGCAAAAGCACTAAGCATGTAACACATAACACAAAGCACGCACTCTGTCACTTGCTATTTGCATATATAATACATTTCTATATTTGTTCTAAATCTGGTAAAAACAACCTACAATTCTTTGGTCAGTATAATCCCCACTGCTGTATGCTGTGGCCAGAGTTGAAGAGCACTTCTCTGCATACCAGGGAGAAAGGCCTTGCTGAGAAGCACTGCTAATGGAGATAGTGTAGATACTATCAGTGTAACCATCACAGTCACAGTTGTCACCCTGACGGCCTCCGTTCCCAGAAGCCCATACGAAAATGGAGCCTTTCCCATTTCGGCCCTGGAGAAAATGGAAATGAACAGTTATCAAAGAGATTTCAGTCTCTGTAATGTATTCTTAACAACTCCTCCCCCAAAAAAAGGTCTAATAGATCAAAGATTTTCAGGTGGAAAAGGACGATTTTCCATTAGTACTGTGGAAGACAGATACAGAAGAAACCAGCTCCTTGAGCTATCCCACTTCACACCCTGCAGTACCTCTCTTAGTTTGACTGGTCTAGGTTTAGTGTTCCAGGTACAGCAACTTTCCTCAGAATAGGTTTTCACATTAAAAAGAGTTTGTGCTTAACAGGTAAGTTTTCCCACATGCTGATGTTTTGGTCCTGAACATTTCTAGCAAAAATGACCATTTTTAAGAAATGGCAAGTTTATCAGGGTTTATTTCATTTGCCCTTCCTGTAATCACAGAGGTACAGGTAAGCCGTATGAATGATGTACATGATATGACTTTAGCACCCACTTATTTTTTGTAAGGAAGCCTTCTACGGTTAGCGCTCACTCGCTGAAACACAGTGAGCCAGCAAGCACATCTGACTGAGAACCCTCCCTTCTCTTACGGATCTGTGGGCCAGCACCACCAGTCTCCAGACATGACCACGTTCATTCTGGCTCTGGTCTCCAGTCTGTAATGAGGGAGCAGCGGCTAACAACTGATGCCGGCCGCTGACAGAATGTAAAACCCCGCGGCTATCACAGAGGAAACACATAGCACCCGATCCAGTCCTAAGCTGTGCTAGTCCTTCAGAGGAAGAAGAATCCATTTCATGTGAAGAGCAAAAGTTCGTATGTTGTTCATTACTAATATATGTACATTCACAGAAACAGCAGTTGAAATACAGGTTTTTATCATCCCACTCAGATGAGATTTGAAGTTGTTCATGCGAGGGCTAAAATATTTGCAGCACTTAAAACATTAAAAATAAAGAAAACTAAGCTGTACTCTTTCTGATATAACTGCTAAAATGAGAATGACAAGCCAAGTCAATTACAGAAAATGAGATACTATCTTCCTTTGAGAATAAAGGCTGCAGTCCAGAAAAGCACTGGTATATGTAAACACCTGCTTTGATTTCACTTAAGAGTGCTACTAATGCCTCTCAGATGCTACAGGCTAAGCATATGCTTAGGTGATATACCAGGCCAGCAATGAAGGAGCCAGGGATGAAAGCTGTTGGCAGCCCCAACTCTGGCTGACTTCAGGCAGAACGGAGATCACCCAGATCCTTGCAAAGGGAAGCCTGACAAATTAATGGGTAAGTTTGTTTCCCTTAAGAAATAAAACAAGTTGTAAAAAAAGAAACATTCCTCACCAAATAACCTTCTTTTTCAGTGTAAGACCAATGAACACTGGTTCCCTAGTTATTGCCTTTAATTCTCCCTCTCTTCTTGCTGCCTACCTATGGACTTAGATCTCTGTTTAACACCAGTTCGCTTCTCTTGGTCTCCAGTGTTTCCTCAGAACACGTTTGTTAGCTCTAAGTCTCTTCCTTCTTCTCTCCTTCTGCCTGCTAATGTAACTGCCCTTTTTCCAAAATCCTCTTTCTCCTCGCTTCTGTCCTCTGAGCTTTCCTCCATTTCTCTCTTCTCCTGTCTCTGATTCAGTCTTCCTCACTATATTAGTACCTGTCCATCTTTAGATATCTTTTCACCTCACTGGAAAAAGCAAAAGTAGTGTATCAATACATCCCCGGTAGCTCTCAGTTTGCACCCTACTTATCATCCAACCCGATCTGCAGAGGATAGCATAAAAAAAGAACTGTAAAAACGTTGTTTCAAATACTCTTCATCTTGCATTTTTACTATCTTCAATTTAACTGGATCATGATATGCACCAATTTATAAACTAATGCAATTAACATAATACAAGCCCATCCACAGGGTGCTAAAATGCACTACTATTTCACACAGCAAAATATTCACAAAGCAGAAATTTTGTATTAAATTTTATAGGCTTTCAGTGCAGAAATCCAATTACTGTTCAGTGCAAAACAAGCAGCAGAGAAGGGTGGGGGTAGGGCGAGACAAAGGCAGCAAAAGTAAGGATGGAAAAAGAAAGCTTATCTGTGGCGAATGGCAGCTTAAAATCATCTTACAAAGCTCTAATGGTGCTTTTTCAAAAGTCCTGTTCTGGCTGGTAATTTCTCTGTCCTGTACCATTAAAATCTATCTCCTTCTTTCCAAATATTTTTGAGCAAAGAGAGCACAAACCATTTTAATTTCTTCCCTGACATCAACCATTTTAAAGTTCTGTTCTCTGCCACATTTTATTGTATCTTTCTCTTAAGTATCGTACCTGTTTTATCCCATACTCAAAAGCCTTCTGTGCAAGTCTCCCGGGTCCCTCCACAGTTTTACCATCATCATTAGGGCCCCAACTTGCACTGTAAATATCCACGTGTTCTGGATTGAAACCGATTGAACTGGCTTCAATAGCATCGGTGACTATGCCATCCAGCATGCGTATACCTTAAGAGAAAAAAACAAGCAGACTGGATTTATTTTCCATTCCCTCTTCTTTGTCTTTGTTAACCGTTTGTAAAGTTTCCAGCAAAATCAATCCATAACTATTGCAACCACAGCCTACTGCTGTTCACATAAGCAATACTCTGGACAGTTCATGTCAGTGTGGAACAGTACACTTACCCTTTATTTGCAGAGCTCAGTGCTCCCTACAAACATTAAAAAAAAATAATCTAAAAATCTCGTTTGCCTGTTATTTAATTATTTCTCTCTTCCTACAGAGAGCCAAGAAGATGATGTTTTGCTTACTGTTCCTGCTTTTTCTGACTGCATTGAGCTCTTTCTTGACTCTTCCTCTCTGTTAAATCTGTAGCAAAGACTTCTCAAACTGCTAGCATGTCAGTAAAATTAAATAGGTTTTATCAACATTACTTTTATCTTTAGGAGTTCTAAGAGTTTTAGTTCAAAGATGCAGTTCTGAATGTTCTGACTAAAACACTTTGCCCTCACAGTCATTAAGGGTTTGCTGTCTTTGTGACGCTGCTATTTCACTAGCTCTTCAATATTCACCACACAAAAATTCTCGCTGTTGTTTTACTGCCACATTTTTTCTACTGTGAGCAATCCAGAGATGCTAGAGATATCTAGCCATTAACATTTTATTAGGAACCACACGATCTAATCTTCTTCAGAGCAAGCCTGATCTCAGTGGTACTTAAAATTCAGTGGCAGACAGCGGTTCATCTGCACTGGATCTCTCATTCTGCAAATCCCTAGCTCTGCAGTAGGACTGCTACCGATGTCCAGTGCTGGAGGAGGATAGAAATAGCAGAAGTCTGGCAAAATTCCCACTGTGGCACGGCTCTCCCAGCAACTGCAGCAATATAAGAGCCGTAGCAGTCAGGATTCAGCCTGTGTTTTCAAGCAATAAAAATGTCTGGGTTGTCTTGAACTTGGCAACTTAGTATTACCGCAGCTGCACCATTACTGGCAGTTGGTGAATTATGAGTACTCATTTTCTAGTATTTTCCACAAAATGGGGATTTTTCCAAAGCACAGCAGGCAAAATGTGGTTGTTCTATTAGAAAAATTAAAAAAAAAAACCAACCACAAACATTAAACCACAAACAGGAAACAAAAAAAAACCCGCAACCTCGCCCTTGCAGCTCAGTATCTTGTTCTTTTTTTTACTCTATCAAGCAGGGAAAAAAAAGACTGTAAGCATAATTCTTTTCCCAAATGGCTGGCCTCTAAGACTCGTAATACCGCCGAGATAAAGCTGGGCTTTAGTATTTCATATTAATTAGTCACAAAAACAGACAAAGGAGTTAATCCGCTCAACCACTGCTACTCCACTATCACTCACAAAGCTGGGAAAAGGATCAAGGCATATCCTGTGCCTCAGGTACTAAAAACACCACTCACCCTGGATAGGCTTAAACTCGTAACATTTTGAACACTTATTTTTCAGCTGGCACAGAATTGTGAGATTCTCTCATACCAGCACGCTGTGAGCAAAGCTCTGCCTGTGTGGAAATGACTGCAAGCTCCGGGTGCTAGCTTGCAACACATAATGAGAGACTGGGAATGCAGGGAGTAGTGTGCAGATATTTCCCACAGAAGAAGACAAAGGCAACGCTGCGGATAAATAATGTAATAAGGAGGAAAACAAGAACACTGACAATACACCAATGAAATCCGTTCAAGAAAAAAAAAACAACCCGCTGTCTTGTCCTTGTGATCTCCAAAACCCCTGCTTGTTTAAGTCAACTCGGGGATTTGATGACTGCAGTGATATTTCCCTAAGCAGACTCCAATTACGTCCTTTTACACAAACTGACTCCTATTCTTGCACGTGCTTGCTCCCACCATCGGTCCCACAAAACCAAAGGGCAAAGCCCAAGGTAATTTCAGACACATACATGTATCTGCCTGGCAGAAGGCTATTTTTAGCGACACGTCACTGTGCGGGAACTCTCAGCCCAGTCCTTTGTAAAATGGAGCTTCTTAATCATTTGATTTCCATGGCAGCACCAGAGAAATATCATAGCACGGCGGTATGGTTAGGTACACATGAATATATGTTCACCCTGCTTTACTCCAAAGGTGATCGATGCTCCATGCAGAACAAGAGGTGACTGTTAAAGGACACTGAAAACTGGCATTAAGAAGTATTATTTTTCACACAGTGCACACAAAAGCCTACGGGATTCACAACCCCAAAGCACTGAAAAGACTAATCAAGGTGTCAGAATAGGGCCAGGCATTGATGTGACTAGTGAGAACATTCAGAATTATAAAAGTCAGTGTTTTCATGGAAAACAAAAAAATTTGAATGGAATGTTTTCTTTTACCCCTCAACGCAAAGTTAAACCAACCTCTGATAATGAAGGTTAGAGAACAAGGTATTCTAAACGTTAGG